TTGAAGCCAAAGTTTTTGAAATCATTTTATACACTACTTCACAGAGATTGATTGGTCTGAATTGATTGAGATTGGATTTTGCATTTAGGAATGAGGGATATTAAAGTATGGTTCCAGTATTTTAACAACCTGCCTGACAAGAAAAGACTCTCAATGGCATCACATAAGTCACCTTTCAAAATTGGTCAAAAGTATTGGAAGAAGAGTGCTGACATACCATCTGCACCTGGTGCTATGAGTGGATTCAAACTGAATAAAGCTGCTCTGATTTCTCTTTCACTCACTGGTTCTAACAACTCTTCATTCATCTGAGAAGTGATGGTGACAGGAATATTCTGTAGCAATTCAAACCTTCCATTGGACCCTTGAGTTGTGAACAACTTCTTATAGAAATCCGATACATGCTCTTCAAGTTCCTCATCTGACTCACAAATTGTGTTTTGCTCTGTCACTAGTCTAGAGATTGCATTTTGTTTTCTCTTCTGGAGCACATATGCATGGAAAAACTGTGTATTCTAATCTCCTTCCTTAATCTAATGCAGTCTAGCCTTTTGTTGCTAAAAGACCTCTTCTTCACAGTGAGCTTGGTCTAACTCAGCCTGTAATTAGTCCCACTCCTCCCAATTTCTGTTGCCAGCTTCAGTTCTCATTTCCTCAAGCCTAAGTGTTAGCCTAAGCTTCTTACTGTCTCTTTCAGATTTGAAGAATTTACCCCACAACAGCAAAGCCTCTCTGGTTTTCTTCAATTTCTCCTTATCTATGTACATGGGAGTGCCTTGTTGAGACTGATTCCAAGCAGTGGTAACAACTTCATTCACTCATTCCTTCTTCACCCACCGCTTATCAAAGTGGAACCTTCTTTTGCTTCTCCTTGAACCTGGGTTAGCTTCCACCACCAACATGCAATGGTCTGAGGCACTTTTCCACTGATTTGAGATGTGTTGTGTTATTCATTGAATCAATTTTTTGTAAAATAAATAAATTGGCGGGCCTGGCCGTTTTGACAGCTCTACCAACAGCAGGTCTCTAGCAACGCACAAGCAATTGAGGGAACGTGTTGGTTATCAAGCGTTATAGATACCCTATAAATTGATTTATCATTTTTTTTATTTAAAATTTAAGTGTTCTTGCATTGATTATTCAAAGTTCTTGAACTCATATTATGTTTTCTTAATTATTTAGAGTTCCAAACTGCAACATTAATTTATTCGCCAAAATTTTATGTATTTGCCCACCATATACAAGTCGAGCAAGTTTCATTGTATTTTGGAGGCGTTTGCCATAAAATAGTTCATTGTATACGGGACATTTTCATTTAACAGAGCGTATTTTATATACCTCGACTTGATTTTTTATTTTTATTTTTATTTTTCTTTATTTTTTTACTCACAAGTGTGTGTCCCGTGCGATGCACGGGAAAACAATATTACGATTGTATTATAAATTAAATATATAAATAATAATAATCATGATTTATCTATTGTTTTTAAATTAAACCGGGTTAGACACACTCCGACCGGATGGACCGAGAACCGGTTTATAACCAGTCTAGTTCGCTTGAATAAAATATTTGCTCTTGAATCCATCAACACCAGTCGGTTGGACTGGTAGGATCGATACAATTTTCTAAATAAATTTTGGTATATTTAAAATTATCTTAAATAAAATAGAGATTTGTAAATTATTTATCAATTAGTTTAAACATTTAAATTTTAAATTGTTTAGATATCTAAGTAACACATTTTATTCGAATTTATTACAAAAAGTACTATATATATATATATATATTAAAATGCTTATAAATTAAAATGTGAACAGACCACAAATGATTTAATAAAATAGCTTGATCTTTTCGGTGACGGTTCATAAATATTATAATAAAATATTATTTAATTCACAAAAATATTTGATAAAATGATATACAAATATTCATAAATCATTAAACATGTTGTCATAAAAGTATTGTTAATACGATTATTTGAAGTTTGGATTATATCACCTTCACGTAATAAAATATTTTCAATATAAAATTTATATTTAGGTTCAATAATCGACTTGGTGTGGTCGAACCGATACATAACTTAGTCACCTGGGACCAACCAAGTTGTGTTAATTTTTTTAACTATTTTAAATATCACCTAAAAGTAATTCAATTAACCTGGGCAGTACCCTAATTCAATCACCCGATTGATTCAAAGAAATTTTCTTATTTTCTTTAAATATATTTAATGTTATGAAATAAAAATATTTTATGTTCATATAATAAATGTCTACCATAAGACTATAAATTATATATCTAAAGATGAATTAATTATTGTTACTTTATTTTTACATAGTAATTTTCAAAAAGTTAAGATTGATTGATTGATTATGCAATTTAAAGAATATTTTAGCGTTCAATATTTTTTTAAGGGCATTAATATAAAGACCGAGATTCTGAAACTTTTGTTGTATTTTGAATTGAGATTTTATAAATATAGAGACAGAGATTTTAATGTTGTTCGTTGTTTATAAGAAAAAAATAAAAATAAAAAACATACACATTTAATAAATCTTAGCCGAATTTTTTTAATAATAAAATAAATTAAAGCCCGAAATTTAAGGTAGCATTTAAGTGTGTATGATTTTTAAAGAAAAAAATAAAAAAAATAAAAACTATTTATAGACTGCATTAAATTCTAACCTATTTTTTTGCTATTATTTTTGGTAAATAGTAATTCTTATTATATATATATATAGATTTTCTGAAATTCCCATATATACCGCACAAATAACAAAATGTATGGTGTATAAAATATAATCTACCAGTTGAGGTAAAATATGAACTAAATCATGACTTTTGTGAATTTTTTTAGTTGTGAATGCGCTGGTATGAATGCGTGATACATGTTTTTTAGTTTTGGCAAAGATCTTCATCATCTTTATCCATGAGATACAACCATTGTCACAAGTACCACCCTTTGTAACAAAGAAGACCAAAATTGGGTTAAAAATGAAGATTGTGAATTTTTTAGTTGTGATTTCAACATTTTGGCAACCTTTTCCATTTGACAATTTTTTATTGTACCAAAAAGAGGAGTGTTTCATCAAAGTTTTTCAAAAACAATATTAGTTGGTACATTTTCGTTCTCTTTTCTCAACAGTAACTTAAATTCATAGTTTACTCATGCCTATATTGAACGATGGATCTAAGAGGGACGTAAGCTATATAGTAATTACTTATAATAAAAATATTTAATAACTATACTTAAACTATAAAATATTAGTCAAGTCTTACATTTTTAACTATACTTCAACTAGTTTGAGGTCACTAAATCATGCTCACTTTGAAGTTTTTAACGCAATGTCTCTATTTTCTTTTCCGTTAAAGTTGTTTACTATGTTTCTGGATGTCTATAACTTGAATAGTTTATTTCTAAAAGTGTATGACAATGATAAAACAATTTGCAACATCCTAGTTTTTTTTCTCCTTTTCGATTATGTATGTATTGTGGGTAAATCAATAAATTCGATAAACTATAGTTTTATGTCAAAATAGTAATGACTAATATATTTTAAGATTGAGTTGAGCAATTGACCCTCGAACTTAATTGTCTTGCTCCACCAAATTCATAGATACATAATTATATCAATTAACGAATTGATTAGAGAAATTAGAGCATCCAAGGGATGGTTGTTATGGTGGAGCAGGAAATTGTTGCTCTAAGCATCACTGATTACGGCCTAATTCTTCTAACCACTCCCAGATATTAATTGTAGGGTCTATTTTCAAAAGCTGCCAAAAGAAAATAAAACTAAAAAATGACGTATTATAAACATAATCCAATAAACAATTTTATTGGATGAGAAAAACTGCAGATGCTGATTTAATAAGTGGTCTTTTTGTACGTCCAAAAGATTAGTGGTGACCAATAATCATATTTCTCGTTAACTACAAGACATTGATGACTTTAATCTTATCAACTTCACCTTTTCATCTTTTGAGAATTGTAATGGATATAAATAATTATGTGCCTACATGAAATAATCTAAGTACATGAGTTTACGGTAAATGGGCACACCCATACACTACTACAATGCGGACAAGATTTTTCTACAATTGAATATTATATCCGTATATAATTTAATAAACATACATATACCAATTAAAATGATAACACAATTCCAACCTGAAAAATGTAAATTTTCATACACTAATCCCACCTATATATAATTGTAGAATGCGGTGAGGCTGTCATATATATANAATGTAAATTTTCATAAATGCACTAATCCCTCCTATATATAATTGTAGAATGCGCTGAGCCTAATGACAATCTCGCATGCTTTGGAATCCTACTTGGCGAAAAAATATGGTTCGTAGTTTGGTTTGGATAAAAAATAATATTATTGTACCAAAAAAAAAAAAATATTATTCTAAATCAATAATTTTAGATTCAGACATTCTAAAAATATTAAAAAAATTAACTTGGTAATTTTATAATAATTTGACTATTATAACCCTTAAGTTGTATTGAAACCTTTGGTAATGATATTGATTGACTAATATAACTTTGATTTATTTTAGAAGCTCTCGGCTCTTTACTTTTTATTAAAACCTCAATTTAGCCTAATACATACATATATCTAATTTTAAACAATTGTTGTTATTATTATTTAATTTTAAAAAAAAATTCTTAACGAATACATGGATGTTGTACTAGTAGTACATTAATATGCACTTTAGATGATGTTGTGAAGTCTTCAAAGCTGACATAACACTTGCCCATAACACTATCCATGACATTTTTTTCTGCATCAAGACAATTATTTCCCCACATGACAGATGCAGAAACTATAAACTAAAAAAAGGAGGGAAAAAAACAAACCATAAAACCCATGTACACGTACGTACACATTACAAGACATGACCAAAGATTAGAACAATAATTAAAATAACTAAACCCTGCTTAGCAGAGTAGTTGGAGCAGTTCAAGAAAGAATGTCTTTTTATCATCCCTTCAAAACAAACCCATGGGCCAAGCCATCACACAACATTTCCTTCAATTTGGATCAACATAACTACACAACAAAAATGATTTTCCCCTAAAATAATACCAAATTAAAAGAGCCCCCATTTGGCATTAAATTAATTTCATATCTAATTAACCCCAAATCCCTAATTCCTATCCTCTCCATATATATAACTCACCAATTTCCCCCCTTTAACTTCACCTCACCAAATTCTCCCCAAAAACCCAATCCACACACACACACACACACAATGAAGGACCCGAAATCGCAAAAACTCCAGCCATGGAAGCCCCTAACTGCAAGCTACTGCTGTTCGGCAGACGATCACAAGCGCACCATATTCCGTAACTTGAGCGGCTGCCGAACTTCAAAATCGGAGGTTTTGAGCGCTCCACGGTTACCATCTTTCCGGAAGCTGACATTCTCTGATGTCAGCGTTGGGTCGAACTCGGCCAGGATCAATGAGGACTTAGCCCAGTCGTTTGGCGGCGATTTGTACGATTTTCAGATGTGCGAGCTTCGAGCCGCGACTCAAGGCTTTTCGAGCAGCTTCCTATTGGGGGAGGGAGGGTTTGGGAGAGTTCACAAGGGCTATGTGGATGAGAGCTTGAGGCCGGGCCTCAAGGCACAGCCCGTAGCAGTTAAGCTGCTCGATATCGAGGGGTTACAAGGCCACCGTGAATGGCTGGTAAATTTTTGATTAGTTATTTACTGTTTCATTAGTATCAGAAACTCTTGAGATGNTTGTGAAGGCTGAGGTGATATTTCTGGGGCAGCTAAGGCACCCCAACTTGGTGAAGTTAATTGGCTATTGCTGTGAAGACCAAGAGAGGGTTCTTGTGTACGAGTTCATGCCAAGAGGCAGCTTGGAAAATCATTTGTTCAAAAGTGACTACTCCTATATATTTGTTTACAGTCTTCTTTTTCTTTCTTTCTTTTGAAAAAATTGCGACGATCTTAATCTGAATTGACGCATTTATGATTTAACCACCATGCATAGGGCTGTCGATTTCTCTAGCATGGGCGACGAGACTGAAGATCGCTATAGGGGCAGCAAAAGGTTTGGCGTTCTTGCACGGTGCAGAGAGCCCAGTCATATATCGTGATTTCAAGACTTCAAATGTTCTGTTAGATTCGGTATTCATTTATTTTCCATAATATAAATGTCGGTTTATTTTTCGATTCCAACATAATCGCTAAATAAAACAAATACTTTTGCTAGGATTTCAATGCCAAGCTATCAGATTTCGGGCTTGCTAAAATGGGGCCTGAAGGATCAAATACTCACGTTACAACTCGAGTAATGGGAACATATGGTTATGCTGCACCTGAATATGTCAGCACTGGTAAAATAAATTCTTCTAAAAGAAAACTTCAAATTAACATCACAGTTGTATGATATGATAATTCAACGATTCTCGATGAAGCAGGTCACCTAACTACAAAGAGTGACATCTACAGTTTTGGAGTGGTTCTCTTAGAGCTCTTGACAGGAAGAAGAGCAGTGGACAAGACAAGGCCCAAAAGTGAGCAAAACTTAGTGGATTGGACAAAGCCCTACCTTACAAGCACCCGAAGGTTACGCTGCATAATGGACCCCAGGCTAGCGGGCCAGTACTCTGTGAAGGGGTCCAAGGAAATGGGCCTTCTGGCCATGCAATGCGTGAGCTTGAACCCTAAAGACAGGCCTAAAATGCCAGCTATCATCGAAACACTTGAAAGCCTGCAGCATCTAAGGGATATGGCAATTACTTATGGACAGTGGCCCGCTTCTACTAAAACGGGCCGAACTGTGGGCTTTGTTCCTAAGGAGAGGAGGCAGACTGGGTTTGGGTGTAAAAGTGCTGCGGTTGCAGCCAGCCCAAGAAGCAAATAGTTATATTATATAGTATCTAGTAAATGGAGTGACTTGAACTTGTATCAACTTCACAACAAGGCAGATATAAATTGCCAATGTAAATGAATATTTGGATGTGAGCTGTATAATATATAAAATACTTATCTACTTGTACATTGTAATCAAGTTGAAGCACCTATCACTCAAATTATTCAGTTATAGATCCAAGTAAGCAAGAAAAGAATTACTGCACGGTGTAAAAAATGTCAAAGTAAAAGAAAACTTCCGATTAAATGCAGGCCAAAGTTCTCTCAAAGTTGGTGTCCTATTAGAAACTATTATCCATAGATTAACAGTAATGCTCAAGCGGGTTGTCTCATAACTTCTACAATATCAAATATAAACTCATTCCATGTTTTTCTGACAAAGAAACTAACCTATATGAAATAAGTTCTTCAATTGCCCTCGTATTTAGGATCCGCCAAGACATAGTGATAAGCAATGACGAGAACAAATATGAATATGCCGAGAAAGTTGGCAAAGAAGCCCAAGTCCTGATCGTCAATCATCTGTTACAGCAGAATAAGAGAGCACGTAAATATAACAGACCCCCAAAGAAACATTTAATCATCCACCAAATTAACATGATAAAGCCTCATTTCTGCAGTTTGGAAACGCAGCAGGATACAATATATATTACTCAACATGAATTAATCAACCTAAGTTGGAACAATAAAATTTATCCTGATCGTCTAACTCTCAAATTTTGGTGCTTTAAGTTAGTCTACTCAACTTAACTTGATAAAACCCAATAACCACAGGGTAAACTTTCCAAACCATATTACAACCCTATATTTTGGAATCTCAACAAAATCAATGAACACCACAAAAAACATAACCAGTTTAGGTTAAGCGCTAGTTTATACCATTTTATTGGCAGATTTAGATATTTTCCTGCAATCAAACCTTTCATCTCCAATAATCGATTACTGAGTACATAGACAGTAATATACTCAAGTTCTTGTCTTTATATCGAATTTTCGTGATTTCCTAATGCCCAAATTTACTTATAAAGTTGAAAAAATAAAGAATTTCTCATCTTCAACTCTATCCATTCCCACATGCTAGATCCATGTACACATTTTCTCCTTACCAAGTTTCTTTGTCCACATCAAACATTAACACAAGATTCATAGGAAGTGATGACTTCCCCATGAACAGTATGGAGGAGTCAACCTAAGATCTTGAGCGAAATCACAGAAACTAGTCACTTTGGAAGCAGCTCAAAAATCAATTATACAATAATTTCTAAGAGATTTTCACACAACAAATCAACAAACACGCACACAAAGGCGCCAACAGATCCACATAGAACGTTCGATCTCATGAAAAAAAAAAAAAAAACGAAATCACACTCGTTAAACAAATCAAGAGCTGCAAATGAACACGACAACAAACAGAAAACTGAAGAAAAAAACGATAAGTGGGGAAATCTTACTTTGAAATCGGAGATGGAGTGATGCTCTGATGTATAGACTCGTAGCTGCAATCCAAAAAGTCCTGAAAATCGCCATTTTGATATGTGCTTTGAATTTTTGTACCAGTCTCACTCTCCCCAAGTCGAGTTATTCAAACATAAGTGGGCTTTACAAGCCCACAAGTAAATATTGTCTTAGTACTGATTAAAGCCCGTTATAAAAGTTTAATAGTAAGATAAATGGGCCCAAAAGATGGGTAATTGACATTCTTACCTTACATGTACAATCAACTCTTCCAAGTAAAATTAAAAAAATAAAAAAATAAAAAAAAAAATAAAAAAAAATAATTACTCTTCCAAGTAACTCACCTTCTCCTTTTTTTCTCTCTAAAAACCTCTCGGCAGAAGAAAAGAAAATGTTTTTTTTTTCTTTAGACGGCCCCTTACTCCTTCGTCTGCTATCGTTCGCAGCTTGCCATTCCCCAGCCGCGATTTCCGATATTTCCGAACGTTGAGAGGGGACGACGGGGGAAAAGAGACGCAATGGAGGAGATGAAGGACGTGGTTGATTAGGGGGATGACGGAGGAGTGGCAACAGGGTTGGTGGACGGCTGACGGCGGGGCTAGTGGCCGGCTGCTGTGTGTGTGTGTGTGTGTTATGAAAGAGTGTGCGTTTTGTGTGAGAATGTGTGTTGTACGAGATAGAGAAGGAGAGGGTTGGGTTCGGGTGGCTCCCACTACGTGTGTGTGTTTGTGTATGTGAAGGATGGGGTGGGGTCCACTGGGATTGGTGTGTGAGTGTGAATTAACTAATTTACCCTTAATGAGTGGTCAAATGTATATATTTGACCACGATGTTGAAGATGGTGTTCTGATGTTGAAATGAAGATGGTGTTGTGTGATGTTGAAGTGAAGTTGTCCATTATTACCCTTGGAGTTTGTTGTTTTGTTTCTTTAGCTAAAATCGTGTTGCTTTTTTGTTATTTTTATCTTGCGTCTTTTTTAGTTGGCTAAGTGAAAACGGTGCACCGCCTAGTTCCTTTTTCCTTTTGTCTTGTTGCATGGTTACATCAAAGACTTGTACGTACATTTTTATTTTGATGAAAATATTTTAGCTAAGAACACTAAATTCGATCTGTGGAAACTAAATACTATATGTGAAATGCAAAATGGGAAAGCTCGCAATTCAACACCCGATATATCCACTTATTTACAATATTGCCATCTAGCACCCATATTTCAGGACGAGCAGCAGGGAATTGTACTGAAATGTAATTTTTTACTAAGTCTCTATATCCGGTCTACTTTTGCATTCAATGTACTGTCAGATAGCCTAAGAGAATGTGAGACGCCAATAGTACCTTCATATGTTCAAATCCCAATTTTTGACAAGTATAATTTACACGTGAGTGCACCGTACCAGATTCGCATGTTTGACTGCAGTGTACTAAAGTTTGACTTTACCATGACAGTTGCCTTAATGGATTCAATGATAGAGATTCAGTCTTATTTTTTTTCACTATGACCCTTTCTCGTATGATTTCACTTATATATATATATAGTGTCGCACTCCGGTGAGAATGATTCCCAATGAAAGAAATAAGAATACATCATAACCATTGGATCATTCGACCGAATGGATAAAAAAAAACCAAAATTATATTTTCATTAAGGGCATTGTAGTAATTTTTACACTAAATACAAAGGAATGGACCCCACTCCAAATTAACATCTGCCAACTTACCGATTGCCAACCAGGCAACCACCCATTAATCACCCACAGGGGGCCCCACCACTCTTTCACCCACCCCACCTCACCTCACCCTCACTCTCTCTCACACACAGACACACACAAACCGTGCAAACAGCCGCCGATTATTGTTCATCGTCGCCCGTTGTGCGCCGCCGGTAGCCCGCTGGGTGCCGCCAATCGACCTCCAAACCAGCATCAGCCGCCGTCATCCCTCAGCCGCCACCGCCCTCCTCAGCCGCAGAGAAGCCCCAACCCTCACCGACGTTAAACTCGACTTCACCGATATCATCCTCCACCGCCAAGCTCCGACACACCGGTAATCGGCCGCCGTCTTCATCGTCATCCTTACTCTGCCTCGTCGATTGAGGTGCGACGGTGCCGAAAAAATCGACCTTCAAGCTCGAAGGTCGAGCTTCAATGGCGGAATTTCAAAAATAATAAAAAAAATGAAAGTAGCCGGACGTCGGCCATCACACTTACAGGCGCGAACAGCTATATCCTCTGACGAAATCAATGTCTGACGTCGCCGGACGGATGTGGATGGCAGTGCTGTGGTGGTGGAGTGGAGGAGAAACAATTTGGGAGTTGGGTTTTTATTTTAAAAATTAAATAATTTTCAAGGACTTAATCGCAATTTGATGAATTTTAACTATATTTCAATTTGGTTCATGTGCCAAATTTATAATTTATAAAAAGTTTAATAAATTCATATTAGTGATGAATAAAAATGCAAAATATATTGTGTGTACTCACCTTAAATATATTTTGTATACTCACAATAAATGTAGTGTGTATATTCACATTTCATTTAGTTTTTTATTTTTTTCTTTTGAATTGCACATATAAAAAAAAAACGAACTGCAAGATGCATAATAATATTAAACACGATACATATTAGTGACCGTCAGACTGCACAACAGCGTTATACCAAATGCACATTAATGAAAAAAAATAACTATAATATAAAATATTAAATAAAAAAATAAATTTATTAAATTTATTTTTTGTTATATAAATTAATTGATACATGCAAATTAATGTTAATTAAAAAACACAATGTTGAAGTTTCTAAATTGAAATGCACATAACAAAAATAATAATAATCTAATCAATAGAGTGCATAATAATGTTAGTTGGAATGCACAATATTGTTTACAGGAGTGCACATTATTGCTTTCGCTATTTTATTGTTGTATCTTTCCAAACGATAATAATATAAAATATTAAATATAATTTTAAAATACTAAATATATATTTTCATATTATAAATAATAAATATTTATATTATTTAGGAAAAATTGGTTAATCGATAGAATAAATTGGTTATTTTAGTTTAGTTTCAGTTTGATTTGGAACAAATTATTTAAAACGTAGGTGACGCAAGTGCACATTAATGTTAGGTAAATTACACATTTATGACTATCATATTGCACAATATAAATATAAACGGATCTAACTATAATTTTCGGTTCGAAATTCTATATTTCATATTGGTTATCAATTATTACCTTTCAAATACCAATTAAATCTGTTTGATGTCAGTTTTATTTCTTAAAATGACAAAATAATCGAACTAGCCGAACTATATAAATTATTATTATTATTATTATTATTATTATTATTATTAGTATTATTATTATTATTATTATTATTATTATTATTATTATTATTATTATTATTGCGAGTGCACAATAGTATTAGACAGGTTGCACATAAATGACTATTACATTGCACATTAGAGATCGGAACTGTCCAAACTAAAATTTTCGATTCGAAAATGTAAATTCTAGTCAATTATCTATTCTTACTTTCAATATCAAGATGCTAACTACAGTGTTATAAATATACATAATAATTTAAATCGGCTATTTTGGTTAAATCGTTTAATCGACCGGCTAAATCAATCATTTATGTGATAAAAAAATACTATCGGTTCAATTAGTATCCGTTATACTACATCAGAGCCGGTCCTGGCCCAAGGCAGCATGGGCGACGGCCCAGGGCCCAATTACATGGAGGGGCACCAAAGTCAGCCCATACACCTTATATATGTATATGTATCTAGAGAAAATGGCCCACCGAACGACCCTTAAATTTTTTTTTCCTGATTAATGATAAAATATTTTTATTATCAAATAAAACTTTCCCTTTCCATTTGAACGTGATTTCACATCTCTATTCCATCTTTTCTGTTATTTTTTTCAATTAACACTCTCGCTATTCTTCTCCCCCATTTGGTTCTGCCTATGTCCGACTCCTTTCTCCCCCTGTAGGCGCCACCCATCACCTGTCTCAACATGTAACTCGTTGAGGCGCAGGAGCGAGTAATGGAAAAGGTGTGCTTTACTAAATTATTTGGATCCAAAGTTGTGATTTACTGATTTAGGGTTTAGCATTTTTTGTTTTTTTGGTTTTGTTATGAGAGTTTCATAGATTGATATTAGATCTATGATTTACTGATTTCGGGTTTAGAAAAATGTGGTCCATTTATTTTCCAACTTTTTTTGTGAGAGAAATTGAAAGATAATTTTATAGTAAAAACATGATTTATTTATTTATTATTATATTTTTTTTCTATTATGTTTGATGTTATGCGTCTGTGAGATATAGGGACTAGGGAGGAGACAATGACTGCATATTGCTGCGTTTGTGAAGTCGTGTGTCCAAGGAATAATAATGCATTCGGTCATTTTCCTTTTAGAATTGAAATTGAATTTACTGTAGCTTATTTGTAGATTGGAAATTGGAGCTTATAAATTTATCATAGTTGGAAACTTAAATTTAGTGAAGCGACAAACTGGAACTTTTAAATTTGAGGCTTATAAATTTATTTAATTATTTCAGTGTCTAGGTTTGAGAAGTATGTGGGTATTGTCGAATGGTTCTTATGAATGAATGGTACTTTACAAGTTAGCTATTCAATGCATCGGAAAGGATATTACAGAAAATTTAGATTATGAAGATATAATTGATGGTTTGCATATAAAAATGCCCGAAGAAAAAATTTCATTCTTATAATTATTTTTTTTTGAAAAGTATCATTTGATTTTTGGAGTAAACATAATACTTGGGGCATAATTTTTTGTATTTTGTCAGGGCCCCAAAATGTTTATGACCAGCTCTGTACTACATATTAAAAACCAAAATTGTGCACGATATCGTTAGATAAAATTGCACATTAATGTCTCACAGTCCTGTTTGATGTCAGTTTTATTTTTTAAAATGACAAAATAATCGAACTAGCCGAACTATAAAAGTTATTATTATTATTATTATTATTATTATTATTATTATTATTATTATTATTATTATTGCTGCGAGTGCACAATAGTATTAGACATGTTGCACATAAATGACTATTACATTGCACATTAGCGATCGGAACTGTCCAAACTAAAATCTTCGATTCGAAAATGTAAATTCTAGCCGATTATCTATTTTTACTTTCAATATCAAAATACTAACTACAATGTTATAAGTATACATAATAATTTAAATCGGCTATTTTGGTTAAATCGTTTAATTGACCGGCTAAATCAATCATTTATGTGTGATAAAAAAATACTATCGGTTCAATTATTATCCGTTATACTACATATTAAAAACCAAAATCGTGCGATATCGTTAGATAAACTTGCACATTAATGTCTCACAGTCTGCACACTATAGTAATCAAAATTGACCGAAATGAAATTTTTGGTTCGAAACTATATATGTCGGTTTCATTGTCGTTTTATATTTTAAAGTTTTTGGTTATTACGGTCAATATCGGTTTTATTTAATTTTTTTTTTTACATTCACTTATCAATATTTTATATTTATTGGATTTTTAATAATTTATTATACATATTTAAACCATTAACTAATTTGTATTATAATTGAAGTTTTTTGAAAAAATAGCAATTGGTAAAAGAGTTGATTTATCCCCAAATCCATTTCATCTTCCAAAACCCATTTCACGAACATCACGAACAAACAAAATTCAGGCGACATCTCACTGCTACCTTCAAATCGCCGCCGGCGTCTATGGCCAGCGTGGCGGACAGTTGGAATCGATTATTCATTTTGACGGAGTTGTTCGATTGACGACACACAGAGATATGAACGGCGCCTATGTCAATTGCCTGAACTTGGAAACCGACATCGATGGCGAGACACAAAGAGGAGATGGACGGCGCCGACGGCATCCAAGGCGAAGATTGACGGCGACGCTGTGTTGGCTGTAAAGGCGGAGAGGCTAGATGGCGGTGGTGATAATTGCAGATGGTGGCTGTGCGGCGGCGATGTGGCTGTGCGACGGCGGGTATGTTCGCGGCTGTGGCAGGGCTGGTGTTGATTGGTGTCGATGGCCGGGCCGGTGGTGTTTCGAGTCGGTGGCGGGGCTGGTGGTGGTCGGGGGATGGATTGGTGGTGGTTGGGGTGGATCTGGTGGTGGTTTGTGGCGGGGCTGATGGTGGTTAGTGGCTGGGCTGGTGGAGGTTGGTGGTGGGGCTGGTGGTGGTTGGTTACTGGGTTGACAAAACCGGCCGGTGTGCCGTGTGCGGTGGTCGGAAGTCGACGGCCGGAGGTGGAGGTGGTGCTGGTTTGTGTGCCGTCAAACGTGTGTGTGTAAGATGTTGTTAGTATGTGAGAGAGGTGGTAGGTTGTGTGGGGCCCACTAGGTGAGATGGAGAAACTTGTAGTGTCTAATACCATCTCCAACCGACAAACCCATTTTCAAACCCATTTTGCAGTAATTGTCATATCAAACAGTAATTTTTCTCCAACCGAAAAACTCATACTCAAACCCAAAAGAAGAATATTCCTGAAATATTCTCTTTCTCATTACCTTTTACATTTTTTTAATATTACCCACACATTTTACAAATTTACAAATTAGACCACAATTTTATTTTAAATTTTGATTGGAAAAAATATAATAATACTAATTATAAAATAAATATTTATATACGTGACAAATCAAAAAATATATATTTATTAAAAATTAAAAATTAAAAATTACTCTAATATAAAAAAACATTAAGGACATACATACTAAAAAGTATACATATTTGAAAACATGTAATAAAATTACACCTCATTATTATTTAGAAACATGTAATAAAATGCTTAGAAAATGTTATAGATATAATAATAATTATTATTATTAACATATAAACTATCAATAATATTAACATAGGTACAATATTGTACTTTTTTTTAAAAAAAAATTGAGTATATGATTGTTATAATTTTCAAACAAATAGTAATTTAGAAATATAAAGTAAATAAATATATTTAACCATTTTTCATATAAATAGTGATAGTATTTTATAAATATAAAGCAAATAGATATATTATATAAATTTAATAGATAGCAAACTGGACATTTGAAAAAAATTGAGGACTGATTTGTGATTGCATAAAAATTATGCGATGTCCTGAGATGCAAACGCACATTTGCGTCAATAGGAGAGAGAAAAAGAGACCAAACGCATTTTGCGTATGAGTTTGAGATTCGATTGGAGCAATTTTCTTCCCTCATTTTGTGTTTTCCAGTTCGATTGGAGGTGGTCTAATATACTTGATCAGGATCATAGATTCAATGGCTTAGATTTATTCTTATTTCTTTCACTATTTACCATTCTCACATGATCCCAATATTATATATATATATATATATATATATATATATATCATATCATATAGTATAAATGTCAAATGGATCATTCCACCTATTTTATTTAAATACTATTGTGATTGCATGGCGATTGCATCATTCATGATATATGACAATTTATTGGCTGGTCTACTTGAGTGTCAATCATTTTGACGGTACTCCGATCAAAGAACCAATCGCCAACTCCCTCTGCAACAGTCTGCAAAATTTAAAACTAATTGTTTTGGTTCTCTGAAATGAAAATAAGTTAACAACTTTATTATTCAACACAAAAGTATCATTTGCACATAAAAAGGTACGACGGTGAAAATTACCTTATTATTCAATATTGGCGTGCTCCATCTTTTAGTTGACCAAAGGTGATCATGAATGTAGCATGAGTCGATAAACAATCCTCTTGATGGACAATCACCAGTATTTTTCACCGTCTCCAGGAATGTGTTTCTAAAATCTGAAATTAAAATTCACACAACTTTTAATTTAAGATACCTTAATATTTTTTTTATTTTGGTTATATGAAGATCAAATAATAATAATAACAGTAATAAATTAGCTCGAGTACCCTTTATGAGTTGTAATTGGCCAGGTGTGCAGGTTTGTGTGTTGTTAGTGCAACTCGCCCAGCCTTGCTCATCCCCAGGATAAGGTTTCAAATTGAATGTGATCTGAAAAACACACACACATGTATCCCAATAATTCGATTATTAATATAATTAAATTAAATGTCTCACTAGATTAAGGAGAGAGTAGTTTGTGATTAATATAAAATTGATGTTACCTGGTACAGATCAAAAGCAGAATTTAGTATGAACAGTGGGGTCTCAACATCTCCAACCAAATTTTCAGGGAAAAAACACTGCATAATTTAATTATTTGTTCAAATTTATTTTCTACCAATTTTATCGAACCATAATTATCAACAAAAAAATAATAATAATAATTATCAACTTAATAGCAAAATCAACGCACCAAACCCGGGTCCATTCTTGACGTGCACGACTCTGGCAGAAATTTTGCTACTCCCTACACCACAAATAATAAAAAAGTTAAAAAGTATATCATAATTATATTATTTTATATTGTTATTTTTCTATTATTGTATTTTTTATTTTTTTATATAGGGCTGTATTAAAGCAAGGCAAGAGTAATACATGAAGTTGAACAACTTGAGCATATTCACTTTCTCTGTGATCGGCATTTGGGAGATCTTTCCTGCAATAATTAAATAAAAAACTAAAATATTATTGAAAATCCATTGAATATGAATTTTAAAAAAAGTATCAAAAATTCAATTTTAATAAAAGAAATGTAGTGAAATTTTACGCTAGGATGAAGAAACCAGAATCTGAAATGCATTTTGTTTTGGCACAATTTGGCACCATTGCCTTAAACCGGTCGCAGTTCAAAATAGTCGCTAGTCCTCCAGCCGAGTTGCCAGCAAGGATAACCTTTTCATATATTTCAATACCATAAATGAAAAAAAAAATATTATTTAAAAATAAAAATTTGTATTATGGGCGTCTAAAACATGAAAAGTGGTCGTACATTTTGTGCATTTTGCAATCCTTTTGTTAGTAGTTCTTCCACGACTGCGCTGAAAATCCTTGAGCCTCTATAATGGAGATTCGTTTTCTGAACATAGAGTTTAGATCGAAATTTGTAATGAAGTCAGTAGTTATATATATGGAGACATTCAGAANTTCCACATCTCCCGTAAACGACGACCCATCACAGTATCGTAGGTAAACTATATTCCAGTTGTAGAAATCTATAATAAAAGCATTAGTTTAATTAAAAAAAGAAATCTCTATTTGGTTACTTCATAAAGTTAAGCTAAGAATTAAGATCATTAAATAGCATCTTAACAAAATTACAATAAAACATATATAATTTCATACCTGGATTTGTGGATTGGTTTGAGCTCATTATCCCACCAAAATAGGTGCTATTGATGTTAGTGGTGGTAGAAGTACTTGGTGAAGTTCGCACTCTATTTAGGCAATCACTGGTTGAGCTACACCATCCTCCTCCCTATATATATAATTTTAAATTAAAATCTACTAATTATTAGTTACATGACTAATTACATGACTTAAAATCATATCACAATGAATTGAAAAGTTTATTTAATTCAACTTGTGAGATATATTCGTAGACAATAATACTAGTATTATTATGTTAAAATTGTGTTAGTGTATATACTAATATGAAAAGGTTGTTGATAAAATCATTTTTAGTAATTTTGACCGAAAAAATAAATGAGTTGACTTACCATTAATAGAAATTTTGAAGAAAAATTACATATAGATCTTTAGTAACAAATCCCATTTTTTTAACAAATTTTGGAGATTCTTATGCCAAAATTTGAATCCCATATTTTTCGTATCATTTTTTTATTTTTTTTACCAAAATCTGAATCCTTTTTTTTTAGTAACAAATTTGAAGATTCTTATGCAAAAAATGTACCAATTATTTATGAAAACAAACCCAAATACAAATTAATTTAAAAATCGTGAAAATTGGATACATATTTAGAAAATGAATAGTTATATAATTCTTAACAAATTCTTCCAATCTTTTTTAATAACTTTTTCTTTAAAAAATTGTGCGCAAATTGGATAAAACCACGTGGAATTTTTATATCAAAACAAAATTTAAATTTGGACGGGATATACATTTAAAATTGTATTCACTTTTTGGTAACAAAATCGATTCATCTTTGACATTTAAAATCAAACTTTATCCAATTATTTAGGAAAGAAATTCAAATCAAATCGTTTGCAACTTTTTAAAATTTTAATGCAACGACTTTTTTGGATTCTTATGTGTTTTCTTAACCATGTTTACCGAGAATTTGGTAAGTTCATATCAATTTTTTTGTAAAGTTCATATCAATTTTTTTTAATCAGTAACTAATAATACATAATTTTAGATAAAATTCGAACACCCATGTAGTATTTTGCTTTCCAAATAATCAAACTAAGAACGTTATATATAAGAAAGTGTTCAATAATATATAAATTTTATTTTAATGAAATCTTTAATGTCATGAGACAATCTAAATACAAATTACATTTTAAAATAAAATAGATAATAAATGCTTCCGTGTATCGCACAGGTACTGTACTAATAACTTATAATAATAATAATAAATAAGGGTGCATCGGATTCTAAAGTGGGTTAATTATATGTGATATGTACATCAATTATTGAAAAATAGTTTGATTGCAGTGAAGTTATGGGGATCACTTTCCATCACTTGATCCCTTTCTTCATTTATTAACAAAATGAAATGCACTATTGTTATAGTACTTATGGCGTGTTTGATATTATTTAATTATATTGATAACATTGATGATAGTTGAGTTGGATTAAAGTTGAGTTAAACTTTGAATATGAATTGGAAAATTTTCAAAACAAACACCCTCTTAGTCAGTCTCTCTAGATCTCTCTCGCACATGCACATATATGATTAAAGTTGATTTGATGTAAACGTATGAGAGAAGTTATTGGAAGTGATGAATAGTTGAACTTATGTGAGCAGATTATAGTGAATTAAAGTTGATGTAATGTGCAAGGATGATTGATTGATGTTATTTAACTATATTGATACAATATAGGAGGGTTGAAGTTAGGTTAAATTTGAATTCAATTTTAGTTGTGATTGAAAAGATCCAATTACAATTTATACCCAACACCACCTTAGAGAGTGATTTGTGATTTGGATATAAGTTATTTTGTTTTTGATTGAGATTGTTGGATAACCAGAGTTAATTTAAAAAAGTTGATTGATATAGGTTTCGGTGAGTTTTTGAGTTTGTATTAAAATAATATTTAAAATATAATAACTAAAGTTAATTGGATGTAAAAGTATGAGATAAAAGTGATGAGTAGTTTAAATTATGTGAGTGAATGAATAATGAATTAAAGTTGATGTGATGTGTAAGGATGATTGATCATTGATATTATTTAATTATATTGATAATATTGAGGAGAGTTGAATTGAGTTAGATTTGAATTAGATTTTAAGTTAAAAAAAATATCTGGTCAAAGTGATCAGATAAAGTGATCAGATAATCTGTATCCAATAAGGGCCTTAGTGTCATTGTCTAATGTGTATGAGCTTGTTTCAAAACAATTCTCAAATGGACTTTTGATTCTTGTTTGGTGATAAATTTTAAATTTCATTTATGAATAAATTGATCCTCCAAAAAATCATTAAATAGAAGTAAAAAAGGAAGACTTTTGTAGAAATCCAATTCGCATAAGTCAGTTTTGATAGAATCAATTTTCTAGAAAATATGGACTTGAAGTGGTCCTAATTTAAGGAATTAGGTATTCGACTAATCTTTGCCTGCTTCTTTTCAAAAAGAGACCTCATTGGACTCCTTGATTTGAAATGCTTATCAATACATTGACAAGTTACGAACATTTGTTTATCACTAGCCCGAAATTTTGGGCAACTGAATTTAACTAATGATATACAATATTTCATTTACTATGACAATTTTTGAATGTCGCTCTGCTATTGTGTTGAATTTAGGCAATTGAATTGACTAATGATGCACACCTATACTAAAATATCATCAGGTATAATTACTTGTACAATAAAATTAATTATATATATTATTTACTTTTTAATGCTATAATGTCACTATTAATATCACACTTCTAAAATTATCATTATGTACGAGTAAAATAAAACTATACATATTTTTAGCAGCCTTCTAGTTTCATATCATATGAAACTTTGTTCATATTTGATCAATTTCTGAAAATGGTTAAATTATTAAATGCCATGCAACATCAATATGTATCTATATACACATTCGTTGCACCATCACATTGCTAATATAATATTACACTATTAAAATAGTATCATAAGGTATATATGTACTTTAGTGGTGTTATTATTTCTCACAGTTAAGTACGATTCTTATTTAATCTATTATATGCATTCTCTATATACATGATCAGTATTATTTTTGATTCTCATATGATTGGTATAAATATATATTATTATGAATGGTAAAATGAAATAATGAAACATTATTTCGTGATAAAGTGGGTTGAAAAAATCGACCGGAAGATAAATGATCCAATTATTTTTCCCGTCTCCAAATCCTTTGAAATAATGATAACCTGCCGGGATACCATCTAAGCAAACTGCACCACCAAAAAATAAAAATAAAAGGTAAAGAAAAAATGATAGTAAATTACAATAAGAAGAAAAAAGTACTTAACAATATGAGAGAAATTAATATATGAAGAATTTGATTATTAATTATATTTTGTGACCTGCTCCTTTAGCGACAGCATCTGAAAGGATTGTAATGTTGACCCATCCAGTAGTGACGTCACCATAGACTTGATCAATATTAAGCACTAATAGTGCCAACACTACCACTCGTAACAAGTGACTACCCACGATCTGAATGGATTTTGCCATTCTGAATTTATACATATATATACAGATAAATAGATAATTAGTAGTCTTATAATAAATAATAAGTGTTTCTCAATCAATATACATGTATAGTAAAAGTGAACTCATATTTACAATTATATATTCTTGATCAAAATTGTTGAGCCAAATATCGAATTGAAATCATTAAAATTAACGACCTGATAAAATTGTTGGCTTGTACATATTGATCGAATATTGTTCTGATTATTTTGTGTCTTTAGTTGAAGGTCTCGGTTAAATGTGGCTGCTTTTAACTTAAGCTAGTATTTTTATTTGTATTTAGGCTACGAGTATGTTTGTAGTCCTCCCAGTGCTCATGCTTTATGAGTAGTCGTTTGTATTCGAACCTTTGATTTGTTATGAGATTTTCTATCGTTTGANACACTAAAAAACCAAACGCTAAAATACTCAAAGATCTATAAAACGGACAAAATCCCTCAAATATTTTGAAATCTGAAACTCCAGATACAAACAAATTCATAAAACCTAAAGAAACCAAATATAACAAATTAATTATTACAACAAAAACCGACAAATCAAAACAAAATAAAACTGTCTATCGTTTGGAGAAAAAAAAAAAAAAAAGCAAAATAAAACTGAAGAAAGCAAATTCACATGAAAGCAGATAATACAATAATGCCACAGGAATGAATTAATAATTACCTTGGTAACCAGGTATGATCAGTTGTTATAAAAGGGGACAAGCCTGAAAAACATTGTATTAGTTCTATTGCATATATAGTGCATCTTGTGAACAATATTTTGGAAGGTTCGAAATTAATTTTGTTTTGGAGTTAATTATATGTATGACACGTGTTCGGCCTTTTGGATCGCAAATTGTTAGTTGATTTCCAAATCTTAGGAAAGCGACAATGGCTCTCAATCGCATTTATCCAACTAATATTTATATGGATTCCTTTGAGGCTGTCACGCATAAGTCATAACGCATTGGGTGCACCATTACTAAAATCGCATTTTAAGGATTTTCTTTGTTCTATTTTATTTGTTAAGGAAAACTCCATATATAAATAACTAAATATTTATAAATAGAGTAAATCAATACTTTCCATCAGATCTAATTTTAGTAAACGAGATGGACGAACGTTTGTAATAATTAAAGTAAGCAAGATTTAGTAAAATTTCTACTCTAAGTATGTGTATTTTGGGAAATGCTCCTCTACTTACGTTGGATACATGTTAAATTAATATTATATTATTTTTATATATTTATACGATATTTTTAAAATACAAATTCTAAAATAAAAAAATATTTTTATTTTATTTTTTGTTTTCGAACTTGAACTAGTTCAAAGGAATAAATTTTGAGTTCGTTAAATAATTTGAAAAAGTTTGTTTCCTACTTTTTTTGAAGGACAACAACTCGAACTTTAACGAACGAGCTTGATCACAAATTTTCTCTCGTATAATAAACAAACAGCGTTCGAACATAAACGAACACAGACTCAAAATGCCCAAGTTTGGCTCGTTCGATTTGATTACAATACTACAAACACGCTATACCATAATGTTTAAGACAACGAAAGAATGAAAATAATTAATTATTCCAAGTGAGGCGAGTTCATAATAATTAAGAAACAAAAGTTAAAAACCTATAAGGTATAAACAATATATAAAATTCGACATTTTTATATATGAGTCCAAGGGCAATTATATGAATTGTTAGTTCGAAAGAAAAATCAAGCCAACCACAACATATATTCTACAAGTTAAGTGATTAATAGATTAATGAATAATTTACCAATGTCGTGATTGAAAATCGTAAAAATGTATAAACTTAATGAATGTAATGGATCGGGATAGTAGAGTGCGCAACGTATGTATGAACATAAAATATAAGTGGAAGAGGCATTAACAAATTTGTCTTCGAAGAGCGTCTTACTGCCACTCAGAGTTCTTTGATTAGCAAATCGATTGTCTCCCATTATTTCAAATATAGAAATCCCTATAAACCTTCTACAACTATACTTGAACATACAAACTACTTTCCTGGCAACAACTTGGACTAATAGCTGGTAATGGAATTCCTTCAAGCTGACAATACTCAAAAGTACAAAGGTGTTATGCTTAAGTCTTTCAGAGATGCAAGAACACAAAATTGAAATTTTAATTCAAAAACTATAAAATATAATCACCAAACTCACGAACTCTCAGAGAATAAACTAACTTAATATGCTCATGAGAGAACAATATAACTCGACTGTTTTCTCTAGATTTGGTGATCTAATATATATAGACAAAAGACAAATCCTAACTAGGTTATAAGGACACCTTGGGTGGACGTGATCTTCAACATCTTTTTTTTTTAGATCCATCAAGTAGAATCCGGGTTTGAAATATTTGGCCTTTAAAATCGCGATTTAAAAATTGTGCAGGAACATGAGTTTTATAAAATAGTCGATCTTTCAAATTTAAGAGATCTAGTGTATCTTTCCAATTCCTCCTTATATCTTCTCAGAACATCCAAGATCATTCATGTATGGGTAGCTCATTCTTTTATAGTCTTTGCCACATATTTTTTGTCTTATATGAGAGACATACTAATTATTGTATAAAATCTAACTCATGAATACAACCAACATATAGAATAAGTGAAGATATATATTATGTAATCCTTCTCCTAAAGCATTAAGCCTTCATAATAAATACTATAACAAATATATTATGTTAATCATGATTAATTATTTTTATTTTTATTTTATTTTGATTTTTTTCCATATGAAGTTCTTTCATTGCATAATATGCTAATAAAATATCAAACCTTATGATGCAAATTAGAAAAATCTCTTGATTATAGAATGAATTTAGTTTTTAGTAATTGCTAAATCAAAGTTGTTTAATTATTATAATGAATTAAATTGTTAAATAATATGTGTGTATATTTTGTAAAATACATATACACAATATTTTATTTGAATTTATTTACGTAATTTAAATACTACATTAATAAATTATATTAACGTGCATTATATAATTTTTATTACACAAAATAAAAAGAAGAAGAAGACTACTTCTATAACTCTCATATATATAAAAAAAAATAACTATAATTGCAGCCGGTTGGTTGAAATGGCGTCAGACGTCGGACGTTCTCTGTGATAAGAGGGTGCCACAAAGGCTAAAAGGTAAGTTCTATAGGACGGCGATTCGCCCGGCGATGCTATACGGTGCTGAATGTTGGCCTACAAAGAGGCAACATGTCCAACAACTAAGTGTAGCAGAGATGCGTATGTTGCGTTGGTTCTGCGGGCACACAAGAAGGGATAGAATCCGGAATGAGGATATTCGAGATAGGGTCGGGGTGGCTCCAATTGAGGATAAATTGGTTCAACATCGGCTGAGGTGGTTCGGACATGTCCAACGGAGGCCTCCTGATGCACCGGTGCGTAGTGGAGTTCTACAGCGGGTCGAGGATGTTAAGAGAGGTAGAGGTCGGCCTAAACTCACTTGGGAAGAGTCGGTTAAGAGAGACCTTAAAGATTGGAATATCTCCAAGGATTTAGCGGTGGATAGGAGCGCTTGGAGGCTCGCTATCAACGTGTCAGAACCGTGACTTTTGCTCCTTTCTCTCTCTCTCTCTCTCTCTCTCTCGTGTGTTTTTTTTTTCGATCTCTTCCTTTCGGTTCGAGTCTTTTTGTGTTTCTCTTGGGTTTCATCTCTAGTCTACTCCGACTTACTTGGGACTAAAGGCTATGTTGTTGTAATGACATTATATGACAATAAATTTTATAATAAAATAATAAATTCAGTATTATATGGTGAACAAGAATATGTAATGCTATTATTTTCTCTTATATCTAGGAATAAATATATATTCTAAAATCGAATTTATATTAGTATAAATGTTTCAGCAGAATAATATATTAATTAATTTACAAACTAGGGATAATATGATCATGTTTAACGTTATGACTAAAAAACAACGCCGATTTAAAGAAGTGGAAAATAGATGATTCTACTCTATTATTTTTAAGGCCTAAACGGACATGTCCTATGAAATGACTCATTTAACATCTCTAACCCGTACATCGCATTAATTAATAATAAATACTAGAAACTTAATTAATTTACAAGTAAATAAATAGAAAATTTTTCTTTAACTTATTGTGTTTGTCTAATAAGAAAATCTTATAGAAAATACTTAAGTTTGTCAGACGATACCAAACCAATATTTTAACACTTTTAAACATTGTATATATACATATCAACTGAATAATAAGTTATTACATATTATGAAAATAATAGAATACAAATGAATTAAATATTACATAGTATTTTTATTAAATTGATATTCCTTTATTAATTTAATTTCAACGTTTATTTCATAATTAATTGCCTCTGTATGAGGTAATAGCATTAGCCTATTTAAAGTTAACAACATGTAGTTTTGGAGAATCACAAATTTTGTTTGGAAATGTACGGTTGTTAGGGTCTTCAAACAAGTGAATTTGCACTATATATAAGAATGCAAAACAATTGGTAAAAAACACAAAAACACGAATCATCATAATACATTAAGAGGAATTACCTCTTGTTTTGTTAGTGATCGCCTATACCTGCAGAAGTTCTATCTCTAACTATAAGGCAAGTTATCATAATAAATTGTTTTTCTCTTGTTCTTATTGTTCCTAATAATACTATTCATTTTTAATTACCTAGAAAATAACACGGCTTTTGTTTTTTTATTGATCTCCCCCTTTTATTGTATTTCTAGCACGTTTGTGTTTCCTCAATTTTTCTTCCTTCGTCAATATTAATGATTTAACATACACGTCTAACATTCATCATAATTTATTATTGTGTTGCTAAACGCTCCAAGAGTGCGGTCAGAGTTTACCACCCTTACGTATCTTGACAGTGCTGTGTCAAAAGGGGCAGGTCTGATTAATTTTTTTTTTTTTTTAAGAAATATATATAAGCATAATAATATTTAAAATAATTTTATTTTTATATACATAAATTCCATATATAGTATTTAATCTATGGGGATTTCTGGTATTTTAATTTTGCTACAGTTTGCTTGAATGGGGGCCCACCAGGTTACTATCTTTTAGAAGGAAGTGGATCAGGAGTCAATAACTGGATGATTTATATGGAGGTTAATTTTTACAACTTATTTGATTTAATTTTTTAAAATTTATGATATATAGTGTGTTTGATAATTAAACTTTTTGAAAAACTAATAAGCTT